AAACTGCATCAACCCCAAGCATTCACATGTTGATCCTGACAATAATGGTTTCTGATCAGCTTCCACAATCTCAAATTCAAGTTTATAAATATCCCCACCTATGCTGCATTCTGTTTGAAATAGGCCCAGTGAGTTCATTAATTCTCCTGAATATAACTTCAATTTAGTACTGCTAGGCTGAAGAAGTATCTCGGGTGCCAGTTTCATTTTGTCCTTTAAACTCATAACATCACAGGTTGCACTTGAGTCCAGCTGGTGCGGTTGAATTATGTTGTTATGAGATTCACAAACCATTTTTTGCCCTTGGAGTGTATTGTGCCGATACATTCTTTCCTATAAACTGCATCAGTGATAAACAAGGATGCATCCTCCTGAGATGCATTCTCTGAGTCTAACGTTTGCTCAATTGTATGCAGCTTCCTCACTTCCCTTTTCGGTGCCTGATACACTCCTGCAAAGTGATTTAGCCTCCCACATACTCTGCAGATCTTCCCATATGCTGGGCACTTCTCTCTCTCTTGTATAAGCATACTGCCGCAATATTTGCATGCTACTTGATTGTTTACAGATGAATTATAAAACTGCCTTTTATTCTGATATTTGTGTTGATAATTCATCATACTTGGCTGTTGTTTAGAGACTGTATTAACACAATCCTTACCCCACTCTAGGACTCTCAGCCATTTGTCAGTAAGTTCTATAATTTGAGACATCTCAATTACTGCTTGTAGGCTTAAATTATGCTCCCTCAAGAGACGGCGGCGTGTGCTTTCACTAGTAACTCCCAAAACTATTTTGTCCCGACTGAGTTCATCCCTTAAGGGGCCATAGTCACAACTAGCTGCTTTTTCCTTTAAGCATGTGACAAAATTATCTATTGTTTCACCTTCTTCTTGCTTGCAGCTGCCAAATATGTATCTTTCAAAAATAACATTTTTGAGAGGTCTGAAATGTCTCTAAAGCATCTAGAATAACATTGGTATCTCTTTCTTGCTCCACAGAAAGGGTTAAATTGTGTCTGTAGATATGGACACATTCACTGCCCATCAATCTCCTTAATGTGGCAGGTTAAACTGCTGCTGACTTATCTTCCAAGCCTGTAGCGAAGGCATAATCTTCGAACTCTGCCCTGAACGTATTCCAATTGCTGCCGCAGTCTCCACTCACCCTCATAGGCTCAGGTAGAGATATACTGTTAGCAGCTGCCATAATTCCACTGCTTAGCTTTCGGGAGTATGCTTCAAATGTATCCAGAAGACATGGATTCAGGCTTCTGACACCATGTTTCAAGTAGGTTTAATCATAAGTAGAAGAAGACCCCCCAACAAGCCATCATTACAGATATATATCTACATATGACAGGAACCAGAAATACCTCACAGACGCAGCTGAAGGCAGCTCCTCAAGAGTCAGGGAATACATCTCAAACTAATCCTGCCAAGACTGCAGACATAACCCTTATAACACACTTCTCAACTTCAGCCAGACCTCCTTTGCAGTCTTTAAATCAGCTACATTGATAAATTGTTCATCTTGTAAACTCAAGATGATGTAGGCCATTGCTTTATCATGCTGCCTTTGCTCTGCAGCTGCTAATGGTGCTTGGGTTGGATTAACAACTATATCCCAGAGCTCCTTAACCTTCAGGAAATACTCTATCTTTGTAGCCCAAATTATATAGTTCTTCTGTCCCAATTGAGACAGAGAGGCAGCGGGCCACATAGGTCTCTATGTCCTTTTTTCAACGAGCACCACCAAAACTGCTGTTTAATCAGGTGTAAAGTTTTCATGAAGCCAAAGTGCCCAGCAGCTTTTGAATCATGGGCCTGTTGCAACACAGACCCCCTAAGACTGGTGAGAATGTGTAATTTAGCGCCAATCCATGCCAGACTACCCCACATGGTGCACTCATTTGAATGGGACAGGAAGCAGTCATCACTATTTAGCGTTCCTTTCAGCTCCTCACATAAATCACTAGGAAGGTCAAGGCTCTGGTAACCACCGGGACAGCTAGTTCCTTGGAAGGGATAACTGGACAGTTTACTTCTGACCGAGCACTATTGTATTAAGGCAATCTAGACAAAGCATCCACCATAAAGTTCTTTCCCCCAGGGATGTAGCACAAGGAAAAGTTAAAATAGTTTAAGTATTGCACCCAATGAATTTGCTTGGGTGACAGTTTTCAAGGAGTTTTAGGGCTTCCATGTTTTTATAGTCAGTCAACACTTCAAAAGGGTGCTTTGCCCCTTCTAGGAAATGCCTCCAAGTTAATAGGGCCCAATGGATAGCAAATGCTTCCTTCTCCCAAATTGCCCATCTCCTTACAGTTTCCGTTAATTTCCTGGAGGTATAAACTCAGGGTTGTAAGGCCCCAGTGGTGTTTGCCTGCAAGAGCACGGCCCCCACAGCCACATCACTGGTGTTAGCCTGGACTACAAAGGGGACATCTACGTTGGGATGTTTAAGGACAGGTTTGGCTGCAAATAGCTACTTAAGTTTCTCAAAGCTGCTTGGTATTCCATTATCCACTTAAATGGACAGCTAGATTTTGGTTTGGCGTCTCCCTTTGTCTTCAGATGGTTGGTAATGGGTAATGCAATTTTAGCAAACAAGGGAATGAATTGTCTGTAGAAGTTTGCAAAACCCAGGAAACTTTCCAACTGCTTGGAAAGCAGGAGGGGAACATCCACTCTATGACTGCATCTTCTCAGGGTCCATTTCTATCCCCTTATGTGATATACAGTAACCCAAATAGTCAATTTTATCCTGGTGAAATTTGCACTTTGACAATTTGGTATATAATTCAGCAGCTCTGAGTTTTTTCAAGACTGTGTGCACTAACTTCACATGTTTCTCCATAGTTTCGGTGTATATAAGGATGTCATCTAAGTTTCTCTACCACCTCGGGGCTAATTACAAATCTTGTGCACCTTGAGTCCCATCTTCCCCTGGGCGCCAGATGAAGGCACCCACAGCTCCACTGGAATGGTCATGGAGGCTACATCGTGACTTACCAGGGGGGTCATCGTTGGAGTTGGTCTCACTCTCCTCCAGGGTGGTCAGAGTTCCCAGCTATTCCTAGCTAGGAGGGGCGAACTCAACGACCTCTTCCCCCTTCAGTGCTGTTTCTGTTGGTATATGAAAGTTCATGAATTCGAATGGTAACAGGTCTGCCAATGGGGACTGTTTGGTGACCCAGACGGCTCAGAGCCTGGGCATGACTTAGCTTGACTGATCTGTATATAAGAGTTGCTTTATATAACCTCTGCATTATATCTTGCTTCTGTGAATATTGCGTACAGAATCTATGATTCTGTACTTCTGTACTTCTGGATTCTGATTTCTGGTTCTGGCTTCTGCTGTATGGTATTGTATATATAGAAGTTTCTTATATAAATGAATCCTGCTGAATTATTTATATGTGTGCTGGTTGGATTGCTGCAAACTCTAACAGTTTCTTGGTGGTTTGCTGGCTGCTTCTCAGGCTTCCTGCCCCCAGCAGTTGTCGGCTTGGAGCTTGCCTTGGTGAGGAAATGAGCTGCTCAGTGCCCCTCCTTCCCACACTTGAAGCACACCGTGGACCTCGGTTGGCAGCTCTTGGGGCCTCTTTAGGGGCAGAGGGGGAAGGCTTGCTCCAGTTGTGGCTTCCATGATGCCGGTTTCTAGCCAGATCAATTTCCACCTTGGCTGCCAACACATACCAGCGCTAAAGGTCTCGAGCCCTCTCCCCCCCAGGAGATGCAGCTCTGATAGATTTCTTTGTTAAACCCATCTTTGTAGCACTCCATCAGGACTTCTGGGGGCCAGCCATGCATGTGGCAGGCCAACTCACGAAACTCCTGGGAATATTCTACTACTGACCTCCGCCCCTGGTTTTTGGTCTTCAACCTGGTCCTAGCATCCTAACTTGAATTGCTTCCCAGTCACACTTCTCCAGGTACAGACTGAACATCCTTGACTCCCATTAAAAGAATGTTGTTATGGCTATACATCTCACCCCCCTCCCATTTCCCACAGCATGCCCATCTACCAGGTGAAGATCTAAAGAAAAAGATTGCCTCCAGGGCTGACACCAGTGTGGCTGTGGGGAGGTTGACCCCAGGGCTCCGCAGTCTTCCTGGTCACTCCCATGGGTTGACATTATGTGCTCAGCCTCCTCTGTAAACAGGGTCTCTGGGTCTCTGGGTTGGCCAATAAAGCAGATTTTGCTTAATGTCAGGGCTGCCTCTGTTCAAAACCCAAGAAAGAAAACCTCTAATTCCAGATATCAAATATCAGGTACTACATGTTGTTTGTATAGGAATTTATTGGTGATATTTGTTTGAATCTTGTGCTTTGATATGGCCTATAGGCTAATCAATAATCTATCAGGTACTACATGTAAATAATAACTGAGATGCATTAGTGATTATATTTTTTAATAATGTAGCAAGGAAAAATGTGATCTGTTTATTTTATTTTCAGTGATGGTGACAGAGAAGCACATTTAAAAAATATCTAAACAAACTAGCTAATTTCTCTGGGATTCTGCAATTCTTTTATTTTATAGCTGGCTTTCCTATAGCCCAGTTTTTTTAGGAATGAAAATTTTATGAAGAAACAAAGTTCAAAATTCGAGTTTGAAATCAAAGTAAATAAAAGCCTATTATATAAGAATATAGCATGATAGAATATTAATTTGTCTATTTTGCACACACTGACATTTTTAATTTTTTTAAAAATAATATCCCCTATTTTACTTTAATTCTTACTTTTTCAGTACCAAAATTGTTTAGATCTGAGATAATGTAATATTATTTCAGATTGTCCAGCAGGTAGTCCCCCCACTTTTTTTATTGCTCTTTGATATATTTTTTTTCTAATCAAGAGAAACCTTTAAAAATCCTTTTTTTCAGGGTTACATTTTTTATAGGGCAACATATGTTTTGCAAGCACTGCATAATTTTGCTGCCTGGCAGCAGTTGCAGGTACATGTAAAGGTCCTGTGTCAGAAAGCATCTTGTGATGGACCACAGCAACATATCAAATCAAACAATTTTCTCATTACCCATACATACCTATCCTTAGGATTAACCAATATGAAACAGAGTACAGAAAAGAAATAATAGTAAGCCAAATAAATTAAAGGCATGTGTTATAAAATAAATGCAAACTGTCCTGGCATTTAAGAAAGTTGCTAAAACTTGGATGTTTTGGAAAGCTTTGGGGAGGGATTGGTATCATCATCATCATCATCATCATCATCATCATCATCATCATCATCATCATTTCTCATGCTGGATGATACTTTTTATGATACCACTTTTGCAGGTATGCTGGTAGCATTGTTAGCTGCTTGGACCTTTTTCTGGGGCTCATTGGCATATTGATTTCAGTAAATATGTAAGTAAATAAATCTCCATACTTTCTAATTTTGCAAATTATCTTTGCTTTAATTACATCCATATACATTACCCATCATCTCTTGTTCAAACATGTTTCTACTTTGCTCTTATTCCATGATTACAAAAAGACACTTTTCTATTATCCAAGTCAGTGGTGGGATGCTATCAGTTCTCCCTGGTTCTTGCAAACCGGTAGTGGAAATTTAGAGTAGTTTGGAGAACCAGTAAATACCACCTCTGCCTAGCCCCGCCCCCAATCTATTCGCTGCCTCCCGACTCCCAGCTAATCGGCTAGAACAGTGGTTCTCAACCTTCCTAATGCCGCGACCCATTAATACAGTTCCTCATGTTGTGGTGACCCCCAACCAGGGGTGGGTTCTAAATTTTTTTACTATCAGTTCTGTGGGCGTGGCTTATTTTGTGGGCGTGGCTTGGAGGTCATGTGACTGGGTGGGTGTGGCTAGCTGGTCATGTGACCGGGTGGCCATGGCTATGTGTATAGGGACTATTCAGAGGGCTGAAAAAAGTCATTTCTGACAGATCCTCGCACTTTTGACTGGTCCTCACACTTATGACCATCCTCACATTTATGCCCGTGCAGCATTCTTAACAACAGCTCAAGCTCAACCCTTCCAAGACTGAGTGGCTGTGGTTCCTGGCATCCCGATATAGTCAACTGACTCCATCACTGACTATCGGGGGCGAGTCTTTGGCCCCCGCGGAGAGGGCGCGTAATCTGGGAGTCCTCCTGGATACGCAGCTGTCCTTGGAGGAACATCTGACGGCTGTAGCCAGGGGGACCTTCTGTCAGGTTCCCCTGATTCGCCAGTTGTGGCCCTTTCTTGATCAGGATTCCCTGTGCACAGTCACTCATGCCCTCGTCACCTCTTGCCTGGACTACTGCAATGCTCTCTATATGGGGCTCCCCTTGAAGAGCACCCAGAGGCTCCAACTGGTCCAGAATGCGGCCACGCGGGTAGTCACAGGAGCCGCATGGCGCTCCCATATAACACCTCTCCTGTGTGAGCTACACTGGCTCCCAGTGGTCTTCCGGGTGCGCTTCAAGGTATTGGTTATCATCTTTAAAGCACTCCATGGCATAGGACCTAGTTATCTTCGAGACCGCCTGCTGCTACCGACGGCCTCCCATCGACCTGTGTGCTCCCACAGAGAGTGCCTCCTCGGGGTGCCATTAGCCAAACAATGGAGGCTGGTGACCCCCAAGGGGAGGGCCTTCTCTGTGAGGGCACCTACCCTCTGGAATCAGCTGCCCCCAGAGATAAGGAGAATCAAAACCTTGGTGCCTTCCGCCGTGCCCTTAAAACCTTCTTTTTCCAGCAAGCTGGGCTGGCCTAACACTTTTTAAAATGTTTTTAATTGTTTGTTATTGTTTTTAATCATGGGGCCAAATTTATATATATCTTTTTAATTGTATTTCAATGTTTGTAGTTTATGCTTTTACTTGGCTGTTCACCGCCCTGAGTCCTCAGGGAGAAGGGCGGTATACAAATTTAAAAATAAAATAAATAAAATAAATAAAATAAACCATGTCACTCATTTCACAACTGCTTCTCTTCACCATGGTGATAAGATAGGGTAAAATGTGAGGACAGTTGTAAATTCGAGGACTGGTCAAAAGTGCGAGGACCAGTCAAAAATAACTTTTTCAGCCCTCTGAGTAGTCCATATGCATAAAAGGATACAGCAATAGAGAGGGATGAAGGAAGGGAAGGGAAATTAGAGTAGGAGTGAGGGTAAGAGAGGGAGGAAGAGAGGAGGAGAAGGAGAAAGGAAGAGGAAGTAGGAAGGAGAAGAAGAGGTGGGGGAAGAGAAAGTAAGAAGGAAAGAAAAGAGAGAGGTGATAGGTTTGAGGAGAAAGATTGCTGTACAATAAAAAAGATGAAAGGGAAGAAAGCCAACCCCAAACAAATATAAAGATATTAAGATAAAGAATGAATTGTTAAACTTTAAAGAATAAAAGAGAACAAATATGAATAAATAGCAATAATTAGAAACACACTGTGAGAAAAATAGGAATTATTCCTGTAAAAGCATAACCTGAGTTACGCCATTTTGAAATCATGTTAAGGTTTTGTTTTACCTTGTATAACCTGATTATATAATTTAGTTGACATTTAAGAACATGAGAAAGGAAATGTGTAATTCCTGTTTTTGAGAAGATGTTTGTTTTGCAGGAAATACGTTCCTGGGTTAACTTGCCCTTATTAATTAAAGGAAGTACGCAATTGATGTTTTTGAGCGGTATTTCTGTTGGGAATTGGGGAATTTCCAGGGTGGAATTATGTACTGCATATGTTATATAAGATGTTATGTAAGATCTGGAACTGATTCCCAAGGTACTTTATTGACGTGTATTCTGAATGTCCTGAAGACTATAAAAACTTGTGTAAATTGTTTTATTTCCGTCTTTCTCTACTTTAGAGAGAAAGTCCCTTTGCAAAGAATAAACTCTGTTCCAGGATTATTTTGGTCTTTGTCTCTTTAAAATGATAATGGGATTTACCTGTCGACCACAATTGGCGCCCGAAGGGACTGAAAACATTCTGTCTGGAAGGGATTTCCCTGCGTGCGCACATAACACTGATTTCAGTGAGATGGGGTTATTTCCTTTCCAGCCGGACTTGCTTTTCTATGAACCTTGAGGCAGAGGCCTGAATGCCTGGACAGAGAGGAACGTTCCTGAAGACTTTGGTGCACCAGGAGTGAGTATATGTTTTCTTTTTGGTGGTTTGGATTTGTGTATGTTTGTGTGTGTGGCCTGTATGATTTGTGTGTATAATTAGTGTAATACAGGTTGGGGAAAGTATGGGGACTTTACCAGGGAAAAGTGCTGCTGAGACTGAAATATCCTCCATCCCCCATATCTCCATTAGTGGTTAGAGGATTGGTTGGAAGCTTGTACAAAGGTATTAGATAAGGTGACTATGATTAATTATTGTAAGGAGGTTTGGCTGACGTTTGTGTTGATACAGCCTAATTATAGGTGGAGTAAGTTTGGGGAGTCAGACCCATATTGGATCAATGCTTTGAAGAAAGTTTTGGTGAAAAAAGAAGTTGAAAGTTCAATTGTTATATGTTGAACCTCAGTTCCATGTTCAGTAGTTTAACTCCTCTTCCCCGAGAAGTTCTAGAGTTTTGTATGGGAAGGAAGAAGAAGAGGAAGGTTGGGATCCTTTAGCTTATGCTACATGCCCACCTCCCCCTCCTTCGTATAATCCAAGTTGTGGGTGAAATTGATGTTGTTGCTGGGAGCTGAAAGGAAGAGACTTCAGCAGGACAGTAATATAGGCAGCTGGAAAAGGAGTTGGGTGAATTGTTAGTAACTGTGAAACAGAATCCATCCACTTCTCCTCATGTTACATGTTCACAAACTAAAGGAATGTTTCCTTTAAGAGGAATGCTGAATGGTATTGCGGCTTTTGTGAATGAGTCTTTGACATCTTCTGATCTGGAAGATTATAAAAGAAATATGCCATCTTTCTAAGCGGATCTGATTAAGTTGTCTGAGTCATTGGATTTGTTCTTGAGACCCAATCTGTATACTTTTGCAGAGTTACAGTGTATATTGGGTTATTTGTTCTCCCCTGAGGAGAGGTCACAAATTCGAAAGGCAGCTATGGTTTTTTTTTTGGATTAAACCCAAGTGGGGGCTGTTCAGCCCGTTGCTGCAGATGTTAAGTCTCCATTAGTTGATCTTGGTTGGAATAATAATAATTTAGCTGATCGGGAACAAATGGAGGGAGTTAAGACAGCTGTACCTCAAGGAAGAAACAAAAGTTTTTGAGGTGGAACAGTTGTGGGAAGAAACACCGTCTGTGTTTCTGGAAAATATTAAGGACAATTTGAATAAGCACACTGGTCTTTCTCCTGAAACGCCGGCTTATGAGTCCTTAATGAAAATGAAATTTGTGACGAAATCATGGCCAGACATACAGAAGCTACTACTGATATTGCTGCTCTGTTGAAAGAAGCTTAAAAGGTCTATGTGAATTGGGATGAGGCCAAGACTAGAAGAGGAAAAGGTTTTGTGAAACTTTGGTTGCGATGTGGCGACAGTGTCCTGGAATTGGGAGAGGATTACACCAGTGGGAAAAAAGTCTAGTGTTGGTGGATTGGAAAGCAAAAAGTGTATTATACGTTTGGATGTGATATTTGTTCTAGAAGTAGGTCTTAATCTGCTTGGGAGAGATGCATTGTCTCTTCTGGGGTGTGAGCTTGGTATACAGATCTTTATTGTTCTTGGATGAGGCAGAAAACTCTGTAGGAATGTGATAAGGAAGGTTTATTGTTCTTCTTACCTGAGGTTGAATGCGAATATTTTGTCTTTGATTAATGTGATGTGATGGTGATATGTGTGTGCTGGCTAATTAAGTGACCTTCTTGGTTTAAGTCTGGAGCTGTGGAGGACAGGTGTGGTTAGGGCCCAAAATCAAGTTTTTGATTAAAAACCGCATCCTGAAGTTTTCCACTGCTTGAGGAATGGGCTACAAGATGTCAAGGATAAAACTGAAATGGGTATCTGAAGGGATGGAACCTTTCCAGGTTTTATTCCAGGTTTGCAAATGTTGTTAAATGGTATGTGTGTGTAATGAGAGTTGTTTAGGCAATAGAGCTCATTGTCTTGAAAAATAATAATAATGAGAATGATAATAAAGCTCCCTGAAGTATTTATGCTGACTAATTGGTAGGGAAAAGGCATGTGTGCGTTGGAATACACTAAAAGGTCTGATTGCAGAATAAATATGAGTGTATGTGGTAAGCCCTTAAATGGGGGTGGTAAAGTGATCCTGATATTTGTGAATGCCTGTGCGTTGAACCTCTGAGAAATTTCCTTTTGTATATTGAAATAGTGAGTGGCAAGAGTTTGTTGTTGTAGTTGTTGTTATGTTGTAATAGCAAGTGTGTGAATGAGCAAGTGAGAGATGAGAGAGATCCTATGGAGAAGTAGGATTAGGTAGAGGTATTTGCGATGTTAATTAGAGACAGGAGTAGTATTTTTCTTCTCTATATTTCCCCCGTCTTTTTGTTCTGAATAAGAGAAGTAAGAAAGGGGGGAGGGAAGGTGCGGTTTGTTTTCCCTTTTACACATTTTTTTTTCCTTTGTTGAGTTTGTCTGAGAGAAAGGAGGGGCGAATGGGTGATTTGATCCTGCATTGTTTCTGACTGCATTGGCAGCTATGCAGATGTATTTCCTGTTCTGCTTTAGAGAAGTGACATTGAAAGTTTGAAAAGTTTTTGGGAGTAGAGATCCGGAGTACCTCTATTAGGTGATTTTCTTTTGCTTTTTGAAGTTTTTTATTACCCTCTTTTATGTTTTTGTGTCTGTGTATTTTAAATGATTTTGAATGCTGAGAAGGAGATTTCTAGATACTAGATACTGGATAGTCTGGGGAATAGTTGATTATGTTATTTTAGCTTAGTGTTGTCTAGGTAAAGGATGTTTCCTTGAGGGAAAAATTACTGGTAAAAGGTAAAGATGACTTTTGGTCTGGTTAGCTAGGAAGTTACTTGTAAGTTAGTCTGTATAGACTTGTGAATTTAGATTAAGCTTTGCATTTCTTTGAAGCTTGTGGAAATAGTTTAGCTAATTTTTGATAGAAGTGTGGTGTGATTCCTCTGAAGTGGGGAGAGTTGAGTATTTATTGAGACTCTATTGATTTATTGATAGTTAATTCTAAACTAAGTTGTTTGGAAGAAAGGTTGAAGAGTTGAAGAAAGTAAAAATATAGTGTTGCTCCAGTGTTATGTTTGCCTGGTTTAAGGAAAAATTTCCACTTGTCTGTAGTAGTGGAAGATGGTATAGCCAAAGGAATGTTGGTTTGCATGTGAACTGGGAACTAAAAGGTGGTGCACAAATGCTAGGTTTTTAAAATTGTCTCAAGAGAGTTTGGTTCTCTTGACCAATAGGAGAGAGAGATGGGAAGATGTGGAATGTGATTGAATGAGTGCATGAGGGAACCTATTGGGGAACGCAAGCACTTATTGATTTTATTAAATGTATATGCATATATGTGTCTAGGGGTGTGTATACAATAGTTATACAAATGGTACGGAAATGAATACATTGTGTATGTAAAAAATATGTATGTAAAAATATGTAGAGATTTGACCATTTGGCCTTTTCAATGAATCTAAGTAGATTACATTGAAATGCTGGTGGTGTGACCATTGATATATGTAATAATAATAGTGGATTATTTTACTGGATAGGTTGAAGTCTTTCTTTGTGTAAAGATAGGTGCTCAGAAGATTGTTAAATCATATTAGAGCGAATAATACCCAAATATAGTGATAGGGGTATACATTTCATTGTCCAAGGTGATGAAGGTTATGGAACAATTAGGAATTGATTGGCAATTACATTTATTGTTTAAAAATTAATGTTAGAGTTTCAACTACTTTGAATGAAGTGTTTGCCTTTAGCTCTATTAAGAATAGGAACTAGTCCTAGGAAAGATCTGGGGATATCTATATATGAAATGATGTTTGGATGGCCATATGTGGGGAAAGTTGAGATGCCTAGGATAGAATTGAAGGATGTTTTTTCTGAAAATATATATACAGGGACTGTCCCAGTGTTTTTCTCATTTAAGGTAAAAAGGACAGAATCTACCTCTTGATTTCCAAGCACATGAATACAAAAGTGGAGACTGGGTCCGATAAAAGCCATTACTGAGAAGAAGTTGCAGCTGGTGTGGAAAGGACCGTTCCAAGTTTTGCTGACTACTGAATCGGCTGTAAGGACTAAGGAACAAATTTGGGTATGCTATTCCAGAGTCAAGGGATTGGTGGCTTTGCCTTATGGAAAGACAGTTGCTGCAAACCCTCTTAAATTGACTTTTTGATGACAAACCTTTAGATGATTGATGACCAATGGATGGAAGAAGAGTTTTATGAAGAGATTTGTATTTGGCTAGGAGTGGTAATAATTCTTGTTGTGTTTTTGATTGTATTGAGGAAAGATATTATTGATTGGTGTAAATCTATGTTTTGATATCCAGTGGATGTAAGTTCTCCTTGATTGATTGATGTTGGGGGAGCTAGTTCACTAGGAATAATGGGATTTTTTGTGGTAATGTTTGTTATTCTACAGGTGTGGATAGGAATGGGGATTTTGGCTGTGTTGCCTAGTTACCCTATAACATGGTAGCAGCTATGTTTCCATACTGAATTCGAGCACCGTTATTCTTTTATAGAAACACCACTAACCCTAATAGACACCACTGAGGAAGCTGAGATATGTATTAAGTCATCTTTTGAAGATGGTGTGTGCCAAGTGCAAATGTACATATGAGATAGTTCCTCAATACATTGGCCTTACAAATAGGATGGAATTTTTATATAAGCAATGCACTGAGCTATTTGGTAATTATATACCTTCATACAAGAAGTTTTGGATTTTGGAGGAAGGGTTACATTTTCTATGTCTAAGGATACAAGTTCCCTCCAAGTTAATGTTTTTATGTGGTAACATGGTATTGACCAAATTACCTATTGTATGGAGAGGAGTTTCTATACTGTTACAGGATATTCATAGTTTACAGAAATAAAAGATAATGAAGAGGAGAATTGGGGATTGTGAGAAAAATAGGAATTATTCCTGTAAAAGCATAACCTGAGTTACGCCATTTTGAAATCATGTTAAGGTTTTGTTTTACCTTGTATAACCTGATTATATAATTTAGTTGACATTTAAGAACATGAGAAAGGAAATGTGTAATTCCTGTTTTTGAGAAGATGTTTGTTTTGCAGGAAATACGTTCCTGGGTTAACTTGCCCTTATTAATTAAAGGAAGTACGCAATTGATGTTTTTGAGGGGTATTTCTGTTGGGAATTGGGGAATTTCCAGGGTGGAATTATGTACTGCATATGTTATATAAGATGTTATGTAAGATCTGGAACTGATTCCCAAGGTACTTTATTGACGTGTATTCTGAATGTCCTGAAGACTATAAAAACTTGTGTAAATTGTTTTATTTCCGTCTTTCTCTACTTTAGAGAGAAAGTCCCTTTGCAAAGAATAAACTCTGTTCCAGGATTATTTTGGTCTTTGTCTCTTTAAAACGATAATGGGATTTACCTGTCGACCACACACACATACAAACATACAATGTATTTTCTTTGAACAGAGTATTTGGCCGGTTCACAAATTTAACCAGTGTTTAATCATTTCAATTAAATTTACAATTTCTATATTTTCTTTTTGCCATATTTATTCCTCATCTATTTTTTAAAAAAACCAATATTACCCTTCATCATCTCTAATCTTAATCAAATTCAATTTTTCCCTTCTATTCTATATTATACCCCTTCCCATTGTCATCTATTTTTATATCCATCCTCACATTGGTTAATTATGTAATTATGTTGTTGGAAGAAATATCCTTCTGGGTTCTGCTCCAAGTGGGGAAAAAGACACTGGAAACATGGAGACTGCTTGGAAAGATGGTTTAATGGTGGACAGGATCACATGGCTTGAGTTCCTGAACAGAAAAGGGCAGATACAGCGAGTTTTTTGGGTTTTATGCTGTCTCTGGCTTTGAACTTCCTGGGGCCCAGAAAGAGTATCCTGATTGGTTGTCAGACTCCCAGGGGGTGGGGGTCTTAGCTAGCCTTGCTGGCTGATGTAATCTTCCCAGGTGCCATGTGGTGAGTTTCTGTCTAGATGGGTCCCATTGTGTTAGTTTCTGTTGCTATTGTGTTGCAAATGTCCTTTGACAAAGGATTGGGTTTCTGCCTCTGGCCCATTAACAAAGGGTGGGAGTTGCTGTGTCTGTAAAACATGCTTCTCCATTTTCATTCAGGGAAACATAATATTCTGCTTTTTAAATATTTCCTAAAAATATTTCATTCCTCTAGAAAAGGGGTGGGTGCTAACTTCCTACAATGTAATACAGTTGTTTAATACAAATTCAACATTTTAATATAAATCAATTAGTTATATAACTATCTTTTTTGTATATCAATCAATATGAACATGAATATTCCAATTATTTCAATATTGGAATATACCAATTACCAATATACCAATTACAATATACCAATATTGTAATTGGTTTTAACCCGGGTTGTTTAAAATGGATAGCCAAATTATTTAATGTTTTTAAATTGCTTTTAAATTTTATATGTTGTTTTACCATGGCTGTTCACCACCCTGAGTCCTGTTGGAGAAGGGTGGTATACAAATAAAATAAAATAAATAAATAAATAAATAAATTTCCATGCAATCCAATTTCTTACAAATCAATTAATTATATTTACCAATAATAATAAACCAAATAATTTCCCCCATATATTCCTCCAAACCACAACTTAACCATTTCTGCTTTCAACACAATATACAATTAATAGTATCTCAATTATTATTTATTTATTTATTTATTATATTTCTATACCGCCTTTCTCCCGTAGGACTCAAGGCGGTGTACAGTCAAGAAAAATATAGACACACAAACATCATAAAATTGCTAATTAAAATTGTTACTTAGTTTGGTCAATTAAATAAAACCCAGAATTAGATAACATTTAAAAAATCATTCGCATGTTTGTATGTTTAGCCCTGCCTGTTGGAACATCAGGGTCTTGAGGGCACGGCGGAAAGCACGGAGATCAGGGATATTCCGTATCTCCGGGGGCAGTTCATTCCAAAGGGTTGGAGCCCCCACAGAGAAGGCCCTCCCCCTGGGAGTCACCAGTCGACATAATTTGACTGACGGTACCCTGAGTAGTCCCTCCCTGTGAGAACGAACTGGTCGGTGGGAGGCTATTGGTGGCAAAAGACGGTCTCGTAGGTACCCAGGTCCTAAGCCATGGAGCGCTTTAAAGGTGATAACTAACACCTTGAATCGCACCCGGAAGACCACCGGGAGCCAGTGCAGCTCGCGTAGGAGAGGTGTTACATGGGCGTAACGAGCTGCGCCCATAATCACCCGCGCGGCTACGTTCTGGACCAGTTGGAGCCTCCGGGTGCTTTTCAAGGGGAGCCCCATGTAGAGAGCATTACAGTAGTCCATACGGGAGGTAACTAGGGCATGAGTGACCATGCGCAAGGCGTCCCGATCCAGAAAGGGACGCAACTGGCGGATCAGGCGAACCTGATAAAAGGCACCCCTGGCCACGGCCGTCAAATGATCTTCTAAAGATAACCGTGAATCCAGGAGGACACCCAAGTTGCGGGCCCTCTCGGGAGCAAGATCTCATTCCCTATTGTCAGTGATGGTACCAGCTGACTATACCGGGACGCCGGAAGCCACAGCCACTCGGTCTTGGAGGGGTTGAGTCTGAGCTTGTTTCTCCCCATCCAGATCCGCACGGCCTCCAGGCAACGGGACATCACAGCAAGGGCATCATTGGGGTGGTCTGGGGTGGAGATGTATAGCTGTGTGTCATCAGCATACTGATGAACACTCACCCCAAAACCACGGATGATCTCACCTAGCGGTTTTACATAAATGTTGAACAGAAGGGGTGAGAGGACTGACCCTTGCGGCACCCCACAAATAAGGTGCCTCGAGGTCGACCTCTGCCCCTCTGCCAACACAAACTGCGAGCGGTCAGAGAGGAAGGAGGAGAACCACCGAAGCACAGTGCCCCCTATTCCTAACCCCTCCAGCCGGTGCAGTAAGATACCATGGTCGATGGTATCAAAAGCCGCTGAGAGATCTAATAGGACCAGGATAGAGGAGCAACCTCTGTCCCGAGCCCTCCAGAGATCATCCACCAATGCGACCAATGCCGTTTCTGTGCTGTATCGTGACCTGAAGCCCGACTGGAACAGATCCAGATAGACAACTTCATCCAGGTATCGGGGTAGTTGTCGTGCCACCACACTCTCAACAACCTTCACAACAAAGTGAAGATTGGAGACTGGACGATAATTTGATAATACAGCCGGGTCCAGGGAAGGCTTCTTGAGGAGGGGCTTCACAACCGCCTCTTTCAAGGCGGCGGGAAAGACACCCTCACTCAGAGAAGCATTTATAATCCCCTGGAGCCAGCCTCGTGTAACCTCCCGGGAGACCAGTACCAACCAGGAGGGACACGGGTCCAATAAACATGTGGCAGCGTTAAGCTTGCCCAGAATCCTGTCCACCCTCCTCAGGAGCCACAGAGTCAAACTCTTCCCAGATAACGCTCTCAAGACCTGCCCCCGTCTCCTCCCCTGGATCTACCCAATCGGCGTCCAGGCCTTCCCAAATCTGAGCGACTTTATCATGCAGGAATTGTACAAAATCCTCATCTCGACCCTTTAAGCAATAGATTGGGAGTGGGCAGGGTAAGTGAACGGCGAACAGCGATCCAACAGAGGCAGAGGGTGAGGGTGAGGTGTGGGGGGGGGGCGAGAGAGGGCTTTGGTGACCCCTGTGAAATGGCTGTTCGACCCCCAAAGGGGTCGTGACCCCCAGGTTGAGAACCGCTGGGCTAGAAGGAAAAAATCAGGGCTCACTTGACAAAGAAGAGAGAAAAAAACAAGACACCGTCGCTTTAAATTGAGAAGCCAACAAGCCTCCCAACTGATCGGCTAGAAGGAAAAAATCAGGACTTGCTTCTCAGCCAGGAAATCACTTGGCAAAGAAGAAGAAGAAGAAAAAAAAGACGCTGTCACTTTAAATTGACAAGCCAAGAAGCAGCTGCTGGAAGAAGGTTTTTGCTTGCAGAAGCGAAGTGACATTCAGCAGTTCGTTTCTGGGTCAGCTGAACAACAAACTGGATAAGAGGAGGGATTTTTATATGGTTCTATGTTTTTGAAGTTTTGAGGTTTGTGCAACATGGGCTTTGTGTTTCTAAAAAGGTTTGGGTGATTTCCATTGTGAAATATCCTGTCTTGAATGAGTTTTCTGCCTGCTTGTAAATGGAGCCAAACTTCCGGCTTCCACTTTCTATTATCTCTAAGCACTGGTAGCTTTTTTCTTCTTACAAAGTTTCCTTTATGCAGCTGGCAGGAATGTGGAATGAGTATCAGGCAGGTTCCTTGTTAGCAGCTGGATTTGTCATTGCTTTTCTGGGAGCCTTTTCTTATGAGTAATATTTTATTTGGGGAAATGAAGAGAGGGGAATTTGATTCCTTCCCAGAGCAGGTTAGTGGGGTGGGGATTTTGAAGTAACCTTCCCCTGGAGTGGGGAGGGAATGGGGATTTTGCAGTATCCCTCCCCTGTCATGCCCACCACGCCACGCCCACAGAGCCAGTAGTAAAAATTTTTGAAACCCACCACTGCATAAGTCCATCTTAATATGCTATTCCTGGTATGTGATGTTTTGTATATATACCAAGAAAGAAGCACTCTTGTAATCTTCGACTTTTAGGCTTGCTGTCAAACATCAGCCATAATACTAATGACTGTTTTGAACAATATACAGGTTGTATTACACAAATGGCTATTTTATATGTGAAATTATGACTGAAATATTTCTGCATCTATATTGGTTCACTAAGTTTCTCCTTAGTTTTAGGTTGCTTCTCTCTTTGTTCAGTTTCCATCCATTGCTTCTTGTTTTGCCTTCTGGTGCTTTGGAAAATACATTGCCCCCACTTCTTTCTGGCAGCCCCTTAAAAACCTGTTGCTATCACACTCTTGGGCAAAGCATGTGAGCCATTTCCTCCTTTCAGTGGTCCATGAAAGTGCATCTATAGTATGTGGATAATAAAGTTGAAAAAAGGTGAGCAACATTTTTACAGAACTATAGATATGTTGAGGCTGGATGTGACAAGGAATGACTGGAAGGTGAGGGGCCAGGTGAGGCACCCCTTGATGTGAGTGATATTGAGTTGGCCACGCCTACCCAGTCACATGACCATCAAGCCATGCCCACAAAATAAGCCACGCCCACAGAATCAGTAGTAAAAAAATTTAGAACCCACCCCTGATCCAAGTTCATTTTTCTGATCATCAAAAGCAGGAAAATCCCTAGTGGTTATTCTTAAATTAATATGGTATCTCACAACAGTCAAACAAAGAAATCACTACAAAAATCAATAAAAGGTAAAAGGTAAAGATAAAAAGCATGTTGATACAAGGGAATCTCACTTACTCTTGTCAAAG